AATAAATCATGAAAATCATCAAGGAATCGCTTCTTGGCCTTTTGGCTAAGATCAAGTGAAAATCATCAAGGTGTCAAACTAATATAAGAACAGGAAAATAGACCCATAGCACATAATTCCTCACAAGACTTAAATAGAAGTGAGAATTTAGTCTTCAATAAATATGCTAACCAAACTCATTAGGCAAAGAATGACTACAAAATAATGTTGGGAAAGGCATACTTTATGACATAAAATGCAGCTTGTTATTAAGGTGTTCAAAGTTAAGAAACTGTGTTAAAAAGTAGAAGGATATGAAAATGAAAACTACAGATATGATGCTTTTAAGATTGTCCTACTTAGGAAATACAAACACAAAATACAGAAAACAAAATACGGGGAAAGAAGGACGCAGCAAATACTCATACTTCTGTTTAATGAAAAACATTACAGGCTGAATTTAGAGACACACTCAGAAAAGATACTTACAATATCTTTAAATAGAAGAATGGGTATCGAGGATATATGAGGAGGTTCTTCAAATCAATGAAATAAGAGAATTCCACAGGAAAGTAGCCCATTGACATAATATGTTCATAAACAGATGCCCAATATCATTGCTTATTGGAAAAACACAGGGATGGAATATCACTTCACACATGTCAGATTAGTGAAAACTGGAAAATTTGACAGCCATGTTTCTGGCAGCAGTCAACCCATTCTACTTTCTTCTTGTGGTGTTCTGAATGAGACTGCGACTTTTCAGTTATGTTAACACTATGGCTACTCCATGATTCAGCAACATGGGCTGGGCACATATCTGAATGAAATCCTCACACAGATTCACAGAGGATGGCAGAAGCGTGGACATGGAATTACTATTGTGTTGTATAGAAGAGACAGAAATTCACTTGTCCATTCTTAGAAAAAGAGGTCTGTGAAACTGGTGTGTGTATAGCACCCAGTCTTGTGAAGCAGAAGACAGAAAACACAGGCAACACCCCAAAAGCAGATGTATGAACAGCATCACGGACAGATGCAGAACCTAACATTGACACAGCATAATAAGACAGGGTGAGTTCTGCAACTCTAAACTTTTTTGTTAATTAAAATTACATGTTCCCAAAGCAAATGTAAGCAGACTGAATAGACGGAGATTTATGTATTTAATTTTTTTCAAGACTACATGCATACCAATATAGATATGCTTATAATTTTATTTACATGGTGAAAGAAGTAATTTGGGAAGTCAAGAATGAAAGATTTGAAAAAGGTTGCCATACACGAACCAATCATTATCATCTTAGGCACATAATTACTATATCTCAACCCTGTACACCTGAGCACCCAAAATAAAAACAAATTAAGACAATCCCCTTCCACCCAAAAAAGAAATTGTAGTTGTTGTTAGCAAGTACTAGACACTACAGTTTTCGTCACCGCTACTCCTAGACCTCAACCAAGTATCAGTTTCAGAGGTTAGACCTTTCAGCCCGCAGCTATTGCCACCGCCAAATAGAGAGTCTTTGTAGCTTTGGCCACTAGTTGCTTCCTCAGGGGAAACAGGAGATTGACTGACTGGTGAACTCCACATCATGATCCTTGCCCTCAATTCAAGACAGGATCATAAAGGAAGCATCGCTGAGGAAGTCACTGTGCCAAACGAAGACTGACAGTGTGAGGAAGAGCCGCCTTAAGGACACATCAGAACACATCTATTCAGAAGACCAGTGGACAAATGAATGATCAGTATTCGCTTTTGCTAGTTCATAGATTGTAATTTGTTAGACGTGCCTCTGGAACCTTTCACTCAAGACCTCCTGGCATACTAAGATGCACTCTGAGATGAATCTGTTTTCGTTTTCTCCTACCTAAGTTCTAGGGACACTTTCTTACAGTACATTGTTGAATATTTATTGCTGTTCTCTTGGAACACCAGTGATGCATATTTTTGTATTCCATTGTACTTTAAACTCATTTAGAAATTCAATTTTGTTTATTCTCTAGCCCACCATCCTTATTTCCACTTTCTTGGGAGAGTTTTTGCTTTCCTTCCTGCTTCTTTCTGATGTAGTTTTATCTCTTCATATTTAGGAGCATGTGAAGTGTGTGTGTGTGTGTGTGTGTGTGTGTGTGTGTGTGTGTGTGTGTGTGTATGAGCATGCATGCAAGCATGTGGTTCGTGGAGGTGTGCACATACCTGTGTGTGAAGAAATGAACATACATTGTTTTCTAGCTCTCTCAACATAATTATCTCACTCACTGAACCTGATGATCACCAATAGACTAGCCTGGCTAGTCAGTGACCTCCAGGTATTCACCAGTCTCTCCAACTCCGCCCGCATGAAGATCACAGATGCATACCACCATGCCTGACTTCATATGTAGATGCTAGGGATCTGAACTCAAGTCCTCATACTTATGTATTAATATCATTTTATTACTTTCTGTTGCTCTATACATTATGGATAACAGTACAAATATTATTTTTGATCTTTACAAGAAAAAGCTTCCTGTATAAGTTGTTGTTAATGGATTTTGTTGAGGATTGACTGATGAGAAGGAGCTGTGGATAAAGGAGTAAGTAGAAGCAAGGAGCTTGAGAACCTGTGTGTAGAAACTTTCTCAACCGTTTGCCATATAAATATAAATACAAATGATGTCCATGGGAGCAGAGAACCTCTCTGCTTCCAATGAACTAATATGGTGCTTCATGGTACAGATGGGAGAGACAGAGAGAGAGAGAGAGAGAGAGAGAGAGAGAGAGAGAGAGAGAGAGAGAGAGAGAGAGAGAGAGAGAGAGAGAGAGAGAGAGAGAGAGAGAGAGAGCGCAGGCATACAAGAGAGAACGACAAGGTAATACAATCCTATTTTTCACCATCTGGTCACAATAGGCATCTGGTTTTTCAAAGAGGACATTCCATTGTCAGTCACCCTAGTTACTTGGCATTGCAGAGTCCAGTCAGATGCTGAGAGGTTTGTACAGCAAGTCCACACATGTCTTTTGTCCCGTACTAAACAAAATGCATTCATGCTCATCTCATTCTGGCCCAAGATCTTTAAAAGCAAGCATCATTCTTAGTGTTCTCTTCTACATATCCTTCCCATTTTATTTTTCTTGCAAGCTCTTCTTCAGACATTGTGGTTTAGAGCTCTAGGTATTTCACAAACTCAACAGGATTTATACCCCTTTTTTATCTTCTCTTCTCTTTGAGAACTTTACCTCACATCAGGGAGGGCAGACAGGGACAAAAGTTAGTTATTTTTACATCTACAGCCCTGAAGTATCCAAGGGACCTTCTGAATGGTGATGGATATTCTGTGGCTATGAAGATCTGAGTGTTATCATGGGTGGTAGGCCATGCAGTTAGAGCAGTGCCATAGGGCTGACTCAAGATCAGGTCTTCTATCTGCTAAGGAATACTAGGTGAAGATAAATGTTCCAGAGACAGGGTCTTCAAACTGTGACCCTTATTTATATCATTATTTATTAAGCTTTTATCTCAGAAATACAGTTTTAACTCAATTACAAATCGTGAAGGCACTGCCATTTGAAAATATTAGTCAACTTGTGTTTTTTTTTTTTTTTTTTTTTAAGGTCAAGTTACAAGGTAGTCTTGAGAAGCTCCTTGATGTTTTGATTTCTCTTTTGGCATATTCACTGTGTTGATGTGATTTTATTGGCTATTTTAGAGCAGATACTATCATCATACCTCCCAGGATTTGGGGACATGTATGTCTCCTCCAGACAGTTGCTTTATGCACTGAATGAGGACTAACTTAGAAGGCATATTTGAAAGATGTGACGACTTATAAACTCGGGTCCCACCATAACGTAAGTTTCATATGAAGATAGCTCAGCTAAACATGTAACTAAAACACAAACTATCCAACCATTCCTCCATAGGATTGTCATGTGTTTTAAATCATAACATTCCCTGAAGGGTAGTTAGTCTTTAGTACGTATTATCTATCCTATTGATATTATGTTTATCATCATCATTAAAAGTACTAAAAGGTGACGACAAAAATTCTTTTTGCACATAAAGTGTAACTGAAGGGAGAAGCAGGGCTGGCTTGGCCTGCCGTACTGGGTGCTTATGACAAAACCTACTCACTACGGTGACCTTTCAGTTCTATCTCACTCTCTCTAATTAGCTCGGTTCAACTTGGTGTGTTTTCCTTAGGGGAGGGTTTGGCATCAGTTCGGTCCGGGTATAACCATTTTGAAAGGATGAGAGACATGGCTGGAAATAACCCCTCTAAAGTTACGGTGACCTTCTCCATAATGTATTGTGCCGTGGCGGTAATGATAGATACACTAGCTTCTGTATTTGAAGTTAAAAGAAAATGCAGTTGTGTTTTCTTCTCACCATCCACAAACTGCTATTTTGTAATAACAGAGGGAAGCGTTTTCTATAGTTGCCTGGACAGTGGTTCCAAACTGGAAATAACATCCAACCACTAACTGCTGTTTAATTTTTTTTCTTTATTTCATGCATAACTATGTTTGCACAGCAAGGGAGCAAGAAGCTGAAAAAAAAAATGTCACTTGAAATAGCAAACAAGCCAGAAATGCCATCATCTCTGCTTGGGGTTTTGACTTTGGTGAGCAAGTTGATTTAAGGGAATGAATAGCCCTTAGTCCCTAGAATGACTTCATGTAAATGAAATAAAGTATGTGGGAGCATAAGATGGAAAATGGTACTATTTGTCCAAATATGAGTTCTGTGCTCATAACTCTTTATCTAGAATAGAAACAAAAATTAATTATATGTTCCAGAAAAACTAGCAGTGAGAAAGATGTCCTTATTTTCAACACAAAGAAATGACGAGCGGTGGGAGAGATGGAGTGACAAAAATCCTCGTCTAATTGTTGTATTTCCACTGTGCGTATGTTCTGAAATGTCTCACTATATCCCAGAAATATATAAAGTCAGTGTGTATCTCGAATTCTTTTAAAAAATTAAGAAAAAAACATTTGTTCAAAGTAATAAAAGTTCTTCTAAGAGAAAACTCACCCAAAGAGGGAGGCTGGCTTCTGAGTGACTCAGAGGCAGGCGAGCGGCTCGGTGGGAATTCTGTAAGCACAAAGCCAGCAGAAGTCAATCTTTACATGTAACCGAATCTCAGACAGACTTCTTGTGTTTCTGAGGGATGCTCCTGTTTTTTCTCAGGGGTTTCTATTTTGGGGGGTTGGCAAAGGGAGACGTCAGCGGATGTTGGCGAGAGCGCTGGCTCTCTCCAGCTGCAGCAATGGAAACCATCACGTGACCATGAATCATCTTTTTCCTTTGCTGGTGGGGTTTTGTTCATCTCCCCTGCTCGGACATTTGTGGTCATCAGGAACCGGAGAGGTTCTTGGACCTCTGAGAGTTTAAGCCCCTCTCCTTTAGAAGGGAGGTCTAAATTCAAACAATAAAATCCTCAGTGATGGGCCAGGTGCTAACCTTGTCCTTAAAATACTTCTCTCACCTCAGAGGTCAGATGGTGGGGCAGGTAATTGTATGGATTTACTGTTTCAGCACATTTTTCAGATATTATACATGCCCCACCCCAGCTTTCTCCTTGGAGAAGAAAGTCAGTATGATTGGGATGATGAGCCTTGATATGCTTCCCAGTTAATATCTTAGCTACTTTGTGCTTCATTTTACACATCAGTCATAAAACAGTAACCACTTCCTCAGGGAGGTTGAGAAAATGAAATTCAATAATTGAGTTTAGAGCTTATAAAATTTTCCCACCGAAGTTTGTCTGAATGCAAACAGTCTTCAATCCAAGTTTTCAGTCACAGTTACCTTCGGGGTATGTGTGTGTGTGTGTGTGTGAACTTTGCTGGGAAAATTTTATATTCAGGAAATTCAACTGCTCTACACACCAGGCTGGATAGTGTGTGTGTGTGTGTGTGTGTGTGTGTGTGTGTGTGTGTGTGTGTGTG